ATCAGCAAACTTGCTGAGGGAGCACTCTGTGCCTTCATCCAGGTCATTGATAAATAAATTGAACAGGACTGGACCGAGGACTGACCTCTGGGGGACCCCACTAGCTACAGGCCTCCAACTAGACTTAGCACCACTGATCACCACGATTACGATTTGTTATGTCCTAGTATATTGTAGATAAACCATTTTTATATTTTCAAATATGTTGATGTCAGGCAAAAGCTAATCACCCTTTTAAGCCTTTTCTCCCATCCACAAAAAAGGAAGATTTACTTCTATGTTCTCTATTTAGGAAGAATATTTATTGAAAATACAGGTGTATTTCAAATTTCCTCACAAAAATTTAAGGTAAATTCAATTAATTTATGATTACTGTTTTTTAAAAATTTATTATATATGTAGGTGTATATATAATTTTTTTTTTTAGAAATTGATACACTGTATTTCTGTTTAGCAGAATGAAAGGAGAATGTCAGAGCCATGCTGCTATCTGGGCTTAATGTGCTGTTCCATGAGAAAAATCCTCCAGAGCTATTTATTTTACTTGTTTTCACTTTTGTGATAATGAATAGAGACAGATGGGAAATACATGCAGACTTTTAAATCCTATTGTGTAGAATGAACCTGTTAAAAATTGACTTAAATTTCTATAATTTATATAAATTTCTATATAAATATAATTTAAAAATATAAATTTCTAATTTCTATATTAGGATTTATAGGAGAATCAGATAAAATATGACCCTGTGCCACATGTTCTAGGTGTCCCTGCTTCAGCAGGGGGTTTGGACTAGATGATCTCTAGAGGACCCTTCCAACCTCAACCATTCTGGGGTTCTGTGTAATGGTTAGGGATAGGTTAGTTAATCAAAATGACATACAATAAAACATCGGTCAGTCTATGTTGTTTATCAGTGGTTCATACTTAACTTTTTCCTACATTCCTGAACATTAAGTTGACGTGACACTATGGATAGCTGGCTTTAGACATATTCTTTTAAGCTCGTGCTATCTTGTAATGCGTGCTTCAGGTCTTCTTTCTTCCTAACGTGCAATTACTATCTGCAGTTAAACATATTCTTTTAAGCTCCTGGTATCTTGCAATATATGCTCCAGGTCTTCTTTATTCCTACTGTGCAATTGCTATCTGCAGTGCAATTCTTTTCTCAGTTCCTTTCAGTCACAGGGATGAGCCAGAGTTCAAGCTGCAACACTGTTTTCTCTTGGTCTCTTTTTGGCTATCTATCTTTGCAAAATTTGGAAATGAAGAGCTTCAGTGTATAACCTGTGCAGTGGTATTTGGGATGGGGCTTGCCACATGGCAGCCCCAAACGTGGCCGGCTGTTGGCATACAGGTATCACTTCCTCAGCTGATTTCCCAGACTTCTCTCCACTGCCCAATGCCCTTTTTCTTACCAAACAGACATAGCCAACTTCTGTACTAGCTGATTTCAAACACACAGCATTTCTCTTATCACATTATGCTGTCTGAAGTGTGCATTCATGGGAGGAGGGGGGCAAAAAGGCATCTACAGGGTGAAACTCTGCAAAGGGATTGTTTGCCTCTGTCAGTAGTGAGTTTTAATTTTTTTTTTCAATTTCTTTTTTCCCCTAGGGCTATGTAAAATCCTGAATTCTAAGTATCGTTACCTCATCTGGAGGATTTGTGTGACTTCTTCCCACTTTCTGTAGGGCCAGGTACTTATAAATCAGGCTCTTTTCCTATGCAGCCTCTCCCTCCCTCAGTTTTTGCCAATGGAGATATCCACCCTGAGGATATGCCTGGTTTTCCTTCTCTTTCTCTGCTAGTCCTAGAAGCATGATACTTGAGAGATGGTGATTTATATTGTCTTATTCGTTCTCTCTCAGTTCAACTCCGGCACCTTTAAAGGAGGATTCAGTTGCTAATGAGAAGGAAATGATGAAGCCAGGTACCTGTTTAAAACTCCATCTTTTAAAAACAAAACCTCTGGTGTCCCCAAAGGCACCAGGTAAGAAGACCTCACAGAGCAAGGTGGGGAGGTAGTAAAACAGGCCCTGAGAGTTCTGCCACCCTCTCAGTTATTTCTTCAGTAAGACACATAAGCAGAGACCTCTCTTCACTCCTGTTTTTATTGGCCATTTTTCTTGTATCACCTTCTACTCCTTACACACAGAAATCCTCATTGCCTCTTGCTCCGATGTAGTACAGAACTAGGGGAGATCGAGTCCCCTTCCTGTTCCTATTGCTCTAGACTCTGGTCCTTCTTCAAGAAATAATCTTTGAAAGTCTATACTGACAGCCTGCAGAGCATCATTATTTAAATGCTTGTTATCCTTCTGCACTAATACAACTCTACCACAAACTCTGATGTTGAGGCAAGATTTCTGAGGCTATACCAGAACCTTTTGAACTAATACCAGTTTTCCTTACAAACCTATTTTGGGGGATAAATTTCCTAGCCAATAAAATGATTTGTGACTTCTGGCAAAAAGGTTCAGATACAACCACCTCTCCAAATTCTCTGCAGGATTGTTCATCTCTCGAGTCACCTCTCAAAAAGCCTGCAGCTTGATCTGCAGCTGTGGCGCCAGATCTCTCATGCCTAAAACCCCTTCTTTCGTAAAGTTCTTACTTTGGAGTTGAATTTCTTTTTGAACAAGCATTTTTTCTGCTTCCCAAACTTGACTGGCTAAATGCCAGGTGGGATGTATTCTAAGACCCTGGTACTGCTTAAGGTTCAAGCTATAATTTTGCTGTAAACCATGGAAAAATAAACTACAGAAATGTAACCACTCCCCCACTAAAGAGATGTACAAAAGAAAACTACAAAAAGTCGGTCAAATACTTGTACTTAATTTTAAACTCTGTATTAAAAATGAATACATTAAATTTCTATAAAAGTAAGGCACATGCAAAACATGCTGTACAAGTCTGGCTTTCAAATTTCTTTACAAACTAACAAGCAATATTTTAATTTGGCCTTTCTAAAGTGTGATTTTCCCCTATGCAGGACACATGGAAGAAAGTTAAGGTGACATCACACCAGTTAAATCTAGATTCTGTGCTTTCTATACTGCAGTAAGCATGATATGATCAGGTGGTACAGCAGTAAAAAGTAAAATGCAACAGACAGTACAGAAATTATGAAAGTAGTGACCAACATACAAAATTTAAGAATGAGAAGTTGTAGCCATTTTGATATATCAGTAATCTTATTCAGTACATGATGATTTGGCAACTCCAGTCTGTAAAAGTGTCAGTGCACAATTGTTAGCTGTCACCATCATACAATGCTGAAGACCATAGAAAGATACTGCTCATAGGACACTTGAATCCAGCCATCCTGGTCAGTATCGTAACGTCTGAATACATCAGTCAGCCTCTGAAAAGAAAAAAATAACTGTGACTGGTTTTTAAAAGGCAAGTAGGCTCATCAGACACATTCATAAAACATTTCAGAATCATACACCTGGAGAGAAACCACTGAGGAGAATTCAAATTCTCATTTTCTACTAGATAAGGACAGTGTTATTAGGATCTCACTTGCCTCCATAAGCCCCCAATTACCCATGAGTATTTAGCAATGATAGGAAATACAGATAACAGACCAAATATAAATTCCAGATGGATTCACAAACACCAACTAAATGACATTCTCTTTTAAAGAGCTCTTAGGAGTTTAAATTTTTAACGGAGTAGTTAGCACCAGTTACTCAAGTACAGTTACACAAGAATGTAAGTACAACTGATGTTACAGCAGCAAGAAGCCGTTACAGCTATAAGCGCAAAGCTAAAAAGGAACAAAATCACGTGTTTGCAAATAAGGAAATAATATTCCAGCACTGTTCTCTTCCTGTTACAGGTCAGAAAACATTTTTGGGACAACGCTGGCCACTGTAAGAAAGAAAAAAATCTTTTCCTAGAAGTTTAGCTTGTCTACTGCTACAGCTTCCCAACTTCCCACAAAGCCTTATATGCATTTCTGAAGAGTAAGAATAGCCAAGTATTGAAACAAGAAATGATTTAGTGAGGGTTTTTTAAGCTGTAAAACATAATTACAAGAAGGTTAGTAGTCCCTAACGTATGCATTCATATATACATTTGCTGTAGCAGAAAGGTGTTTTGAAAGGCTTAAGTGTCTTTTACTACAGAAGCACCCTTGCAGGACTGCAATTAAGAAAAACCAACTAATCCATTAGACCAGTCAAATTCCTTTTTTAATTAGTCTGGCCTTAAATAGAGATATGTACAAAGCCCTACAACCTAAATTAAGAGAATTTAATTTCTTATTACATTGAAAATTATACCATGGGCACATGACAATCTAGTTCTAACGCATCCAACATTTGGAGCGAAAGTATTTATTAAGCTAGTGGAAACAGTATTAAGTATTTTCCTTTTAATGCCATTGAGACTATTTTGTGTTTTATTTTTCCCCATACAATTTTTGACTCATTAAATATTTATCAAGTCTAAGTGATAAAAATGGGTAACAGTTGAAGAAAAATAAAGCATGATGTTTCTAACATCTCTTGTCCACTTTATTTAAATGCTTATTTAAATAAATAAGCAAGTACTTATGGTCAAAGGGAGAAGTTTAAGGAACAATATATCATTTTTCCAATTGTAAGTTAAAATACATTTTCATTTTTTACCTGTAAGACAACACAGCACTGAATAAAGTCATCAAAAGCAACTTGTCCTCTTCCTTGTCTGTCAAATTTCCGAATTAGGATGTCATAGAATTGGTCAGACAGTCGATAACCTTGGAAAAAGAAGAAATGCTTTAAGAGGCTTCCCTAGTTAACTTAGCTCTCTTCATAGAATGACTGTAACTACTTAGAGGGCAAGTATAATGTACAAAAAGAAAACAATAAGCAAACAAGCAGTTACGAGAGAATAACGTTTTTTTTTTGACAAGCGTATCTACTGCCTAGCAACAGCATTCAGCTGAAGTGCATTCAAAGAAATCATGCTCAATAATGATGTTAAGTCACAACAAACAATTACTGATTAAACTGACTAGTGGGTCGAGAGAACTGTTTAGGGCTGCATCTCAGATTTTTAAAGATGACATCAAGTGCACTAAAGTGCTTTTTCCACTAGATGCTACTGTTGTACAGACAGTTGGCCTCACTTTAGAATGAGGAAAGCTGTTGCAAGCCCCCCTCTAAGTTAAAATGTTTAACTGAAATATTGGTAGCGCTCTCAGAGTGACTAATAGGCAGAAAATATTCCACACTTACCAAAAATGAAACCAGATATGTTAATACACAAGAGGCAAAAAAAAAAAAAAGTGCTTGTAGCAGGGTATCTTTAAAAGGCACCTTAAGCCTGAAAAGGGTAACTGCATTTCACCCATCTCATTTTTCTTTTTAGTCATGTTTGTCAGAGTAGTACAGCCCTCACTGTAAGCTCATTTAACAACATAAACCTATCAGAAAGCTGTAATTACAAATGAATTACCAAAACCTGTTAGTGCTTGCTTTAGCTCATTTTTGTCAATCATTCCAGAATTGTCCCTATCATACGTTCGAAAGACGTTCTGCCAGTCTGAGATATACTTCCAGACTCCTGTGAATTCATTGAAGTTCACACCACCTTTGTTTTCTCTGTCGAACATGCCTGAAACAAAGGGAAGAAATAGATGTCTAAAACACAAGTTTTCAAATAAGATCTATTACCTTTTTTTGTTGTTGTTGTTGAAGGGAAGTGAGGGCTCTTTGGAAAGTTCTGAAGAAAGTGAGAAATGGCTGAGAAATTTGCTAATCCAAAGCAAACACAGAAGTTTTTGAAAGGGAAAAGATAAAAAGCAAGATTAAAAAAAACGGCCAGGGTGAATCACATAATAATACTTATTTTTTCCTGGGCTTTCATTTCCAATATGAAAGCAAAAAAATGTAGGGCTTGACTGATCACCCAGTGACAAAACTGGAGACAGTGTGACAACTCACATTCACTGACCATGAAAGTGCTGAAATGCTAAACTGCATTTGCCCTACTGATACTTGTCAAGACTGTGCCTTTTTCATACAAACAGCATGTTGTACAGTGACGGAATTCTGACGCCTGCTGAATATTTATCAAAACGCATAGCAAAATAGTACATCCTTACATTTAAAACCATCTTCTCTTCTTTCACAACCATCTTTCACATCACTGGAATGTATTTGAAGATGCATTAAAAAAAAAAATCTGTTTTGTCTTTTTGGAGCATACCAGAGGATGTAAATACAAAAGAAAAAAATACAATAAGAAAATACAGTAGCTTTTTAAATGTTTAAAGCTGACAATTTCCCTATACCCTTATTACGTTGTCTGTTCAGTTGTCCAGTAACATTTTCTTGGGTTACTTTCACAAGTGCATATATGTATGTACCAAAGGGGTACATTTCTGTTTTTCAAAGTTACCATTATTTCTATTTATCTTACTACTGTTAGCCTTCCACAGAAAGGAAGAATGACGCACTGTCTTATATTGAAAAATACTATGACCAACTAAGCTGCTTCAAAAGGCCTTGAAAAAAAGTCAATACATAATTATTTGTCAAGAGACATGCAACAACAGGTGGAGTTCTCAATCACCTGAACAAATCAGAAAATAACAATATATCCTAAATATTTCCCATAACATAATTACACTCACCAAGAATTGATCGGACTGTTGCTGGGTTAAAAGGAGTCCATGTACCTGAAACAGGAAGAACTAATCAGTTCCTCAATACTAAGGAACACTTAAAAAAATTAAAAAACAACAATTAAAAAACCAGATGAATTAAAAAAAACAACAATTAAAAAACCAGATGAGAACAGAGCTAGATGAAGTGGAGCTAGCACATGAATAAAACAAGGCTGCTCTGAAGTAACTAAACTATTGACTAATCCAGGGACTTCTGCTAATGCTTCACAGGTTTTATACAGAAACCAAAATAATTTCTTCATGTTGCACAAAAACAAAACAGAACAAGCACACACAAAACCAGCCACAGTTCTTCAACTGACTGTAGCAGAATAATTATAAGGTATAAATCAAACAAGATCTTATATCTATTCCTTAATAAGAAGGCATCTTGCTTATGACAGCGTGGAATTTCTCTTATAACTAGAAGAAGCTAAGTATAAACCTAAAGATGCAGCAAAAGGTTGAAAAAGTGTGTATTGTAGACAGTCCATATGACATTTTGCACATAAAAAGAAATATAAGGTCTGGGTGTGCTAAAAAATAAGAGAATAAGTGTAAGAAACACCAGTATTATAAAGAAAAATAGCTCCTTAGAGTTGTATGCTTCCTGATGGGGATCAGAAATAATGGAATTATTAATAGTGTGCCAATATTTAACTCTCAACAGAATAGAGAAAAATGTAAAAACAGAGTTTAGAAGATCATTTATTTCATGTTTAAATTTTCAGAGACACAAATTCCATAGAGAAGATTGACTCTGGTGCTGAAGAACTGTCCCAGTTTCAGTCTCTCAGTCTGTTCTCATAAACTTAAAGAACTACTGTCTCTGTCTCCCTGACTCTCACTATTAATTTTATATAACAGGACAGAAAAACAAGAAAGCATATGATCTTACAGGGTTTTTATATATATATATATATATATAGCTATAGGTGTTTTTTTTTTTAGTTGTAAATAACTCTAAGGAGATGATAAATCTCTTCCAGATAAGTATATTCTTATTTATGTAAAACTGACATTTTGAAAGGCTGGATGTCAAGAACACCAAAACCCAACTTCCATCTGTAATGCGCTATGCATTCTTTTTTAAAGTTTCAGACATAAATACATCTACATTCCTTCAACTCACTAAGTCTGCATGACAGCTATACACCATTATCTACTAGAAAATATATTTTGAAAAGAAAATAGAATTATTAGTGACTTGGTATATAAAATCTAGAATCTTTTTGAATAAAGGAAAACTGAAAAATCAAGCTAATTTCTATTTCTGTAAATATTTTGCCTAATTGTAAAATAATAAGAAGTTATTATAAGTCATAATAAAAGTTATAAGTTAGATCCTTGCCAAATTAACTTTTATTATATCATAATTGCCAGCCATTGCAACTGCTAATCTGTACTGTAAGGAATTAAAATAATTTGATAAAATTTAATGTGTTTTTGAAATAAGTAGTGAAGACTAGCAGATAAAAGGATATTTAAAGAATATTAAGTTTAAAGTGGCAGAGGCTGTTACAGTTGGCACTTAATCTTAAATGAAAAACCTGACTCTATTTAAACTTTAGCTTTTGCTGCAGGTGTTGTTCAGAAGAAACGATTTATTTGTGAATTAGGTATGCTAACATGTTTAGTAGTGATGAGCAAGGAATATAAATCACTGTGCTTTAAAGCTAGCAGAGCTGAGAAAAAGAAGCAATGTGCATGCCCCTCTCCCTAGAATGACAATCCCTGGGCCTTACAATAGCAGCTCTGCTTGTAGTGCATTATTATTATCATGCATCAAACCCAGAACACTCTCCTTAAAATACAAAACCAAAGAACAACAGGCTCACAAAAAAAAAGGGGGATGAGGAGGGAAGGGGTGATGCTGCAGATAAGAGTTAAAGATGTCAAGATGTCAACTTCTTCCCTCACCGTCAAGAGAATTTTGTCATGAAGTAATCAGTCTCGTGACTCATCACTTACCTCACTACTTATTTACAGACTTACCATTAGATAATGCCTGCTGAAGTTCATTATCAGATATTATTCCACTCCTATCTTTATCAACCCTGACAAAAAAAAAAAAAGTTGTAAAAGTTGTAAGCTTTAAATATAAAAATAAACAGGTTCTACTTACAGTTGTAGAAACCTAACCATTCTAACTCCTACTCACAAAAACGAGAATAAACTTTTAGGGAACTTTTAGTCATAAGTACCTTTTCTTCAGTAAACTATTTCACTGTACTACAAATTAAACAGCTCACTGAGGCTGATGAGACATACTGGAACAGAATACAAAATACGAAGACAACTCTCCTAAACTACGAGAAAGCCACTAGTGTATGATTAAGCGCATTATGATTTGCTTTATGCAAATATTCAAAATGAGGAAATAACCTAATGAAAGCCTGGCCCTTTTCTGGCATTCAAGCACATTTTAGCAGTACGTAGGTACCAAATTCCATTGCGCCTTCACAGTCTACAGTCTTGGAGAATGGAGTTTTATCCTGAAATTAAGAAACTAAATCATTTGCTCACAGCAGAATCACTCCTTCAAACCAACTACTGAAGGTGATGATGGCTTCCTTTTCTACAAGGAGTGGAGTGGCCACTCAAGACTTTGTCTCCGTCTTCTACTTGAGGGGACGCAAACCTACAAACTTGCATTTCTGAAGACTGCCACATTTATGCAGTTAGGGGAAAGAGGAAGGGAACGAAAGTTTTTTACGCCAAAGGAAACAAGTCAAAAAGCCTCGTAACTAGGGCTAGTGACCTAAGCAAAAACCGAAGACTTTAAATGGCAAACCTCACTTAGATTTAGGCACAAGGAATTAATGCCAAGCTAATCACTTCCATGGGTAACAGGCTGTACCTACCAGCTTAGTTTGATGCTTCCTACTTCTTGTCTTTGAGTAGGATGTATAACCCGCATTCCCCATGCCACTTTTTTATTTTCCCTCTCTAGTAATTGGAGGATCCTTCTCCATTCCTAAGCAGGGTCATGCTTTGTTGGTCCTTCTGTAGGACCATTTGATTTATTCTTTGCTATGTTTTTATAAAATTTTAAAGTTATTTCAACCATATCATTTCTCAGGTAAGGAAAGAATCTAAACTGCATACAATATTCAAGCTGCAGGCATAAATTGCACAGATTATACAACAGTAAAAAGAAAACCCCTTTTTATTTTCCATCCCTTTCCTAATACTTCCAAACATTTAATTTACTTTTTAGAAGTGTTAAGCTGACATTTTTATGCAAATGAGTTATAACCCACCTATAGAATCACAGAATACTTAGGGTTGGAAGGGACCTCTAGAGATCATACAGTCCAACCCCCCTGCTCAAGCAGGGAAAACTAGTAACACACACACACACACACACCAAAAAAAAAAAATTATAAACTGCTCCTGAGCATCAGTCTGGTTAAAGAACATTCATTTTATAGATATAATTTTGTTAAGCTCTTCCTTTCACTACCTCATGTATATATTGTGGATTTCATCAAGCATTATATGACCATCATCTTCCTTAAAATCAATCAATTTGTATTTTAAGGTACCCCTGCAAGCTCTCATACTAGTTTTTATACCAAAAGTGTTAACAAGAAACTGCATCTCATCATTTACCTTCACTTCATCTATAAAAATAGCCCCAGTTGCTTATGAACAAGTTAAAAATCCCAGAAACACTTTGTCCATCGGTGTGATTGATGACTGTATATTCTTATTTTTGAGTCAGCTATTTACCCTTCTGTTTTACAGCTACTAAATTGATTTAAATGCCTTTGATACTTACCACTGTTGGAACCCCCATGGGAAACTATGCAGATCTCAACTGTACCAGTTCTAGCCATATCTAAACTTAATCCTTATATATTCGAAGAATTATACAGACCTTTGCCAGATCGATAGGGTTTCTTTCAAGAAAAGGGACTCTTCCCACTGGCCACATCACTTAAAATGGTTCCTACCAGTTTGCCTCACACATATGTCAGCTTGTTCCTGTCTCTTTCTAGATCTTTCAGAAAAAAAAAGTGGCATTTGCGTGTGCCATCTCCAAGCCCTCAGATGAAGTGGTTTCTCTTCAGAAATTAACCTGTAATCCATTGCATTCCTGAGTCACTCAAGAATTACTGAGCAAATATTATCCAGTTTTAGTAATTTATTGCTCATTTTATCTGCTCCTAATATTCTTTTCCCAATCTTTAGCCAGGAAGGATCCTCCAGCGGGTCTCCTACAAAAGCAGGTACAACCTCAGAACATCCCCTCTTACTCCCACAGGACATGGACACAAAAACACCCAGTTAGCTTCACTGCTGGTACAGCCTCAACAGCAGTACTTGCTTCAACAGCAGCCCACTGACTCTGCCAGGTGCTGCTCCTGATGACCCAGATAGCTCGGGAGCTCTTACGCTCTGTGCCGCAAGCGTTCATATTCCTTCTCACAAGCCTGCTTGTGTTCTTATGTTGACCCTCTGGAGGTTGCAATCCTTCCCAGCTCCCCAGTTCGCTGATTTCAGCATTTTGCAGGTTACCTTCTAGCATCCAGGAATCCCCCTTTCCTTATCCCAGAGCTAATCCATGCCTTTCCTAGGGCCGCAACCGCGAGGTTATTCAGCCAGGCCTCGGAGCGGCCTCCCGGCACCGGCTCCCGCTGGGCGCCACGGGGCAGCGGCTGCTTCCCGCGGGAAGCGCCGGCACTGCCCTGGCCCCGGA